GCATACAGAAAGATAGAGAGAGGAAAAAGAGATACAATAGGAACGAAAGGAAAAGGAGAACTTCCCACTCCTAAAAGTTTGGGCAAACCATCAGCCTTTTCAGATCCATTTCCAAAGTCTTCAGGAAGCAGATGAAGCTTCTAGAACTGCACACTGAGAATCCAACCATTCCCCATTTCAGAGGACAGCAGAGTGAAAAGAAGAAAGGGTAGGTTTTGACGTCAGATTTGGGGGGTTTATCCACTCCTGGCTCTATGACTTTGGAACAAGCCTCAGTGTCCTGATCTGAAAATGAGCATGTGTGTCTGTATTTTTAAGAGACATTTAGTCTCTAAAAATTTAGTGCCTACAGTACAAGGTACTGGGGATTTAATGGTAAACAGACACAGACAAAGCCCTTGCTCCCCTGGATTTTATAGGCTAGTAGTGGTTGTGTTGGGGAGAAAAGCACTAATCAAATGAGTAGACAAGCGAACAGAAAATTAGAATTGTGTCATCACTACCTAGGTTCAATACACATTCTGTAACATCCACAGTGGAATACACAGAGTCCTAAACAAGATGCATGCAAAGAGGTCCACTCCAAGATATATCATAATTAAAATGCCAAAGGTTAAGGATAAAGAGAGTATCTTAAATGCAGCAAGAGAAAAGCAGTTAGTTACCCACAGAGGAGTTTCCATAAGACTGTCAGCTGATTTCTCAGGAGTAACTTTGCAGGCTAAATGGGATTGGCAAGAAATATTCAAAGTGATGAAAAGCAGGGACCTACAGGCAAGATTGCTCTACCCAGCAAAGCTATCATTTAGGATCAAAGGGCAGATAAAGAGTTTCTCAGACAAAAAAACCTAGAGTTCATCATCATCAAACCACTATTATATGAAATATTAAAGGGACTTATTTAAATGAAAGAAGATCAAAACTAGGGACAATAAAATGGCAATAAATACATATCTATCAACAACCGAGTTTAAAAAGCAAACTAAGCAAACAAGAACAGAGACAAAATCACAGATACGGAGAGGGTTTTGATGGTTGCCAGATGGGAGAGGGGAGTGGAGGTATGGGTGAAGAGGTGACGGGATTAAGAAGTACAAGCTGGTAGTTACAGAATGGCCATGGGGATGTGAAAGTACAGTATAGGAAATGGAGAAGCCAAAGAACTTATACGAATGACCCATGGACATGAACAGTGGTGTGGGGATTGCCTGAGGGGGTGGGGAGTGCTGGGTGGAGGGGTGCAAAGGGGAAAAATTGGGACATCTGTAATAACAAAATCAATAAAAATAATTTTAAAAAGAAAGAATTTTATTGACTCAGCTCTTTCATACCCAGTAACTGGAGCAGAATTTAGCGAAGCAGCGGCAGGTAGCACCGCCTTGAACGTGCTGGGCCCACTGTGACAAAGGCTCCTTTGGGAGCCTCAGTTTCTCCCTTCTCACCTCATTTCTTTCCACCCTGTCTTCTCTCTTTTTAAAAAGTCTCTGTGTGTGTGGCAACATAAAATTTTAACCATTTTTAAATGTACAGTTGATCAACATTAAGTACATTCACATTGGTGTACAAACATCATAACTACCTCCAGAAAGTTTTCATCCCCCCAAACTGAAACTCTATATCCATTAAACTACAGCTCCCCATGCCCCTCTCCCCAACCCGTGGCGACCCCAAGTTCTACTGTCTGTCTCCAGGAATTTGACTACTCCAGGCAATCTTACATAGGTGAAACCATACAATATCTGTTCTTTGTCTGGCTTATTTTATTTAGCGTAATGTCTTCCAGGTTCATCCATGTTCTAGCGTGTGTCAGAATTTCCTTCCTTTTAGGGCTGTGTCACATTTCATTGTATGTCTGTACCACCTTTTGTTTACCCACTCATCCCTTGATGGATGTGGGTTGCTTCCACCTTTAACTATTGTGAATATTGCTTCTATAAGCCTTGTTCAAGTCCCTGCTTTCAATTCTTTTGCTTGTCTATCCAGAAGTGGAATTACTGGGTCATATGGCAACTCTATTTTAGGTTTTTGAGGAACCGTGGACTGTTTTTCACTGCAGCTGCACCATTCTCACCAGCAACACAGAGCATTTCAATTTCTCCACCTATCAACGCTTGTTTTCTGCTTTTATCTTTTTGTGATTTTGATTTGCATATCCCTAATGATTAGTGATATTGAGCATCTTTTCACATGCCTATTGGCCATTTTGTATATCTGCTCTGGAAAAATGTCTGTTCAAGTCCTGTTCAACCATTTTTAATTGAGTTGTTCTTTTACTTTGAGTTTTCAAGAGTTCTTTATCTATTCTGGATATCAATCCCTTACCAGATATATGATTTGCAAAAAATTTCTCTCGTTCAGTGGGTCGCCTTTTTACTCCGGGGTGTCCTTAGACACCCTGTAATTTCTTTTAAGGAACTGACTCATTACTTCCTTCCAAAAGTCAAAAATCCCCAGATTCTTACATGTGGCAATTCTTGAAACACTCTCCGCGTGTATTTTAGAATGACCCAGGAAGTTAAATAAAAACACAGCCAGACTAGTCACACTCTGTTCCTCCCTTTTACCGTTTCACATTTCGAAGGAAAAGTTGGAGTTACACAATATAAACTTTTTGAAGAGGAGCAAAGGGAATGGGGTTGTGGGCTAGAGTGAAAAGGGAGGCTGCAAGGGAGACCACCACCGTCTATCCGGGCAGAACCTAACAATCACTATTTATTCCTTGCCAGGCACTAAGGAATTTTAAGTCCTCAAAACTCTGCTATTATGTCAGCAGTGAAACTGTTCACATTTTAGAGATGAGGAAACAGAAGCCCAGGGAGCCAAACAGTCTGCCCCAAATCATAGACTAGGTGATTAGGTGATAGACTAGGTGAAGCCAGAAATTGAGTCGGGTCACACGGTCCCAGAGGCCAGTTTATGGATCACTATGCAACACACCGCAGGCTTTGGAGTCAGTATTCAAACTCAAATGACTAGTGAGTACAGACTACAGACTCACTAGTAACCAGAAAGAAATTCAAACTAAAAACAAAATTTTACTTCACACCCACCAACACTTTGAAAGTTGGACAATGCCAAGAGTGGGTGGGGGACTGGGGAAATAGGAACTCTCATGTAACTATGAGTAGGAGTGAGCGTAGGCTGGTGCAGCCATTTCAGAAGTGACTTACTTGGCAATTCTTCATTCCATGAAGTACAGGTGGGGCCCATGACCTGGGAATGTCACTCCGGGGTATGCATCCCAGAGAGATTTTTACATTCATTCTTAGGAGAACATGGGGAAGCATCTCCTCAAAGGAGCTGAGAGCAACGTAAGTGTCCATTACCAGGGGAATAGGTAAGTAAGATGTAAATGCACACAGTGGAGGGTGATGGAGCAGATGTTGGCAGCAATGAACCAGAGGTACGCACTACAACACAGTTAAATTGTAAAAACAACGTCGAAAGGAATTGGGGAAAAAACAAGACCTGGAATGAGGTCCATAGCCCAATATATGTATTATGACCTTTATGTCAATGTGAAATTAATACGCACAGAAGATACAAAAGAAGTCAAGGATGTGGAACCCTAGAACTGTTAGGGGAAAGACCAGAGAATATTAAAGAAAACGACATGCATTCAGACAGAAAACTGTATAAGAGAAGTGTCTTGCAAAAACACTTAGTAGAAGATCTATGCATTCCTGTTCTATCAAGTTACCTTGACAAGTCATTTCCCCTTTTTGATCCTCGCTTTTCTTGTCTGGAAGATGGAAGATATGGACCTTCACGTGTAGACATTGTGAAGGATGTGGACAGAGGAAACCAGTGTAGAATAGGAAGCAAGGACCCACACAGACCCAGCTGTTCACTGTGTGGCCTTGGGGAATCATTTCATTCTAAGCTTCTGCTTTAAATAAGGTGGTCAAGGCAGACATCACTGGGAGGGACATCTGAGTAACTCCTTGAAGAAGTCAAGGGGGTAAGCCACACAGATATCTGGGGGGAAAGTGATTCAGAGGGAAGAGTCAGTTCTGCCCACACGTAATGATGGGAAGCTCCCCTCACAGTGCCCTGGGCACGATAAGCTGTCTGTAGCCACTGAGTGTTCACCTCCTTCCCTCCCCTTACAGAGATGTCCAGATCCAGGTGACCACTTAATGCACCTTCTAGCTTCAGTGACAATGACTTTCTGGCTTCGAAAGTTTTCTGAAGCACTGCATTCACATCCACTGTCCACCTGCAGGAGTCCTTCCCTCACTGACCACAGGAACCATGCTGAGGAAGGGGTCATTGCTGCTGGATGTCAGAGCCCTCAACTCAGACAGGAAGCTGGAAGCAGCAGGGCAGGGCCCCTTGGCAGCTGCTGTGATCCTCAAGAGACTCCTACCCCAGCACACACCAAAGCTAGGACAGTGCCTAGAGGGGTGTGAGCAAAACCACAGTCACATGGGGGGAAGACAGAAGGAGAGGGACCCACATTTACTAAGACTAGCTCTTTTACCATTACAAATCACAGAACCACCCTGGCTGGTGTGGCTCGTGGGTTGAGTGCCGGCCTGTGAACCAAAGGGTCGCTGGTTTGATTCCCAGTCAGGGCGCATGCTTGGGTTGCAGGGCCAGGTCCCCAGCAGGGGGCAGGTGAGAGGCAAACACACATTGATGTTTTTCTCTCCCTCTCTTTCTCCCCCCCGCCCTAAAAAATAAATAAATAAAATCTTTAAAAATAATCACAGAACCCCTCCAAGTCTCAACTCCCCCATCTATAAAATAGTATGAAAACATCAATTCTGTAATGGTTGTGATGATTCATGGGATAAGATTTGTGAAGCTGACAAGCAAATATCTGGGGCTTAACAAAAAGTAGTTCCCTTTCCTCTGCAACCCAGTACCTGGGAGGCAGCCATTGTCATATTCAATCAGCTCAGGTCTTTATTTATTACATTCATTTCTATGTGGATGGAATAACCTGCCTTTCATGGAGGATGAGACACCAAATAAAAACTGCTTGGCAGTTACTGGGTCAAAATACGTACTCCATAGGTGTTTGTTGGATACCTGGATGGATGGATGGATGGATGGATGGATGGATGGATGGATGGACTGATGAATGAATGATTGGGTAAGTGGGGAGATGGTTTGCTGGCAGAATGTCAGGGGAAACATAATTAGTATTACAAAAATACAAGTCTACACAAAACCAGTTATATTTTACAAGAAGATTTTATTGTACCTATTTGTAGCCACAGGTCTCAAGCACAGATATACCATAGATGAGTAAAAAGCAGCATGAACATGCCCAGTTCTAGTCACCCGTGACCAACTACAGGGGAAGTCAGAGATGTAATGTGGCTCCAATGGTAAAGATGTCTGGGAAATGCTGGACTCTCTGTTTGTTTGTTTTTTTAATATTTTATTTATTTACTTTTAAAGAGAGGGGAAGGGAAGAAAAGAGAGGGGGAGAGAAACATCAATGTGTGGTTGTCTTTCATGTGTTCCCCACTGGGGACCTGGCCAGCAACCCAGGCATGTGCCCTGACTGAGAATCAAACCAGTGACCCTTTGCTTCACAGGCCCGTGCTCAATCCACTGAGCTATACCAGGGTTCTGTTTAAACAGCCAGGGCTCTGTTTAAACTTCTGTGACTGTTTAACGTTCTGTTGCTTCAGTCTTGACTGATTACCCAGAAAACTGGAATGCTGCCCCAAAATAAATGTCATGCCCTCAGGCAGGAGGCTAGTGAATGCACAGAGTGTGGATAACTGCCTGATGTTATTTGTTAACTTAGAAATGCATTGTTCTTTCTGGTGGTCTGCATGACTACCCACCATGTGTTTTTACTATTAATCCCCTATGAAAAAGAGACCCTGTTCTGGAAGAGTGTGGATTTTTTTCCCAACCGGCCACCACTGGGAGCAGATAGCTGCTTTGCCCATGTATGGAGTTTCTCCTGTTAAATTCTTAGGAATTTGAATAAGACTACGTGTCAGTTCTTGGGAATCATTCCTGAATTTAGGCTTTTGGGGTTTTCCCCCGACACCTAAACTTAGCACTCTCAAGTCTATTCCTCATCTTTCCGGGTGGGGCAGGTCTTGCATGTGCCAACGTTCCCCAGCTGAGATCACTGGGGGACACCCTGAGGGGAAAGCTGACTTACGAGATGGTTGGAAGTCCTGAGTGGTGATTTTGTTCTTCGAAATAATTACAAACCAGCTTTTCCTATCATCCCTGTCACCATTGCGAGAAATGAGACACAGAGCTTAGCAACCAATTCTGCGTTTGCTGCAGCTCAGCGCTGTGTAATTTCTACAATCACTTGGCCGTTCTGAGTCCCATGTTCCCCTCAGTAAGATAAACGGATTGGACCCATCCAGCTCCAAAACATTCTGATCCTCTGAAAATCCCTGACATCTTCCTTTAACTATGAACATAGAACTTTAGAAGGACCTGTATTATTAAATTCCTTTTCTACTTGTCCCTGAAGAGTCCCTCAAACCCTTTCAAAATAAATGTGTATAAATGTCAATATGTCTGTTGATGCTACACCCTGGGAAAGCAGTGAGCCTTGGAGCCAGACTGATCTCAGTTCCAGGCCTTTTGCCGATACATTGGTGAGAAAGATTCAGTTCCTGCCCCAGGAAAGAGAAGGCGGACATTGAAATGCATAAACTTCAATGACCGAAGTAATTAAGGTACAGACAAGTTAGACCCTTCCGGCCCTAAAATGCTGCTAGGAGAAAGGCAATGACCCTGCCTGGAGGCCTTCGGGAAGGTTGTCTATAAGGAATATTCTGGGCAAAAAGAAGAGAGAGCATCTGAGGTCACGAACAAGTGGAGAGCACAAGGGGAGTAAATGTGGCTGTATTCAGGTGGTACAGAGACCAGCATGGGCCAGACTGAAACACTCCTCCATGGGTCCCGGGTAGGAGCAAGACCCTGTCCTGTGTGTTGAGGTAGCATTCTGGAAGAAGCGAGGGAGTTAGATTGTCGACTTACTCTTAATTGAGCACTTACTGAATACAGACCCCTTGCACTTCACACACAGTACAGCAGTGTTTCCTGGGGTGCACTATGCAAGTCCCTGGGGGCATATGAGGTGACTTTAGACAGGACACCAAGAATATTTTAATTTTAATAATTACGCTTGAAGTTTACCTTCTGTGTGTGGCAGGTGGCATTCGTTTTTGTTCACAATTTAGTAATAAAACATCCTTTTGAATAATTTAAGTTTTAAAAAGTGACCCGATTTAAAGAAAAATGTTTATTAAGCAAACATACTGCTGGTACATAGCTATTGCAAAAGTTGCAAAGTGGGCACATGAACCCTGACATTCAAGAAACACTGTGCTTTAGCGTATAAGTGTTCACCTCATTCCAAGCACTTTTGGTTGCAAGTAATAGATAAATCAGCTTCAGCAAAATAAGAGAAGACACCCTAGCCAAGAACTCTCACAGGCTCCAAAGGAAAAAGTGCAGCTGTGCCTCCGAAGGGCTTGGCCTGGAGGAGGCGGAGAGCCGCGGGTCCCTGGTAACACCGCCACCCCCTCCGGGCTTCGGGGTCTCCCTCTGGTCTCCTCTCTGCTCTGCGCATCTCCTTCTCCAGTACACGCGTGTAGGGGGCTGCCTGCCGCCACCGTCCCAACCCCGGCACAGAGGCACAGACACACACATGTAGACGCACATACTCACAGCTCCAGTTTCCTCTCTTTGGGTGAGGGATCTGCGGAGCCTGAAAGAACATCCCTAAATCTTGCTACTTGTTCCTGAGAGAATTTGACTAGCTCACCTTTCATCCATTCAACTCCTATAGGAGGATTGAGGGGACCAAATTTTCAGAAGAAGGGAGAATCTGGGATGAGCATCTGCAAGAGGTATCTGCCTCAGCAACTTAATTCACTGCTCAGAACAACCCCATAAGGTAGGAAATTCAGTTCCCAGTCCCTCAGCAGGAAGTGACAAAGGCAAGACTTGAACCTGGGTCTATGTGACACCAAAGCTCTAGTCAGCTGCACTATCAACCTGGTCACCATCAGCTAAGTCAGGCTCACAGCCACCATTGCGAACACGAGGGGTTTCCTGGCCCACGGGGAGGCAGTTATCAAAATCATCAATCCAGTGCTTGCCCAGTAGACAAAATACAAGGATCCCAACTTTATGGGAAAACTATTGGAAAGGGAAGATTTCTTAGAAGGTCCACAAGGCTCAGGAAACCAGAGAAGGCTCTTCCAAGTCCTGGGTCTAAGGCTGCCAGATTCGTACTGCAGGTACTCAGCTCAGGGTGCAAGAGGAGGCCCGTTTGGATACACCCCGAAAATCAAGGTGCCTGCTGGCCCTGGGGACCCTAACTGCTCCTCCCACCTCCTAGACACTCAATTAGGAGGGGTCCCCTAGAAATCGAGGAAGGGAGACTGGCAGGCTCCTTCCTGGCCAGGGCCCCTCCCACACGCAGGCACTTCCCAGCCAAAGCTCCTGTTTGTGTGGAAGCCTCCGGGCAGCTCGGCACGCTGGGTGGCCAGAGTTCCGCCTTGAGAGGCTTTTGCCCTCCTACAGCAGGTGGTTGCCCCACAGCAGGTACTTCCTCGGGGGTCCGTCACTGAGACAGACAGATGGATTTGGCGATCCTGTCCTTCCCACGGCTCCAGAGCCAATCCGGGCCTGAAACGAGGCCTCTGTAGGGAGACACATGTGCCTCAGGAAACAAGCTCCCCATCCCAGAGTTTGGTCTCTGCACATTTTTTCTTCTCTGGTCACCATTCAGCATGTTGTTGGGTGAGTTGGGAGAAGTTTCCACCCAGCTACTTCCCTAAGAAGGGCGATAAAGACCTTGGGCCTGTGGGTGGAGACAGGGCGGCACCGTCTTCTCTCAGAATTCTGTCCCAGAGATACCGTCAGGTCACCAGGAGAGTGTCTCTTTCCCGAAACCCCTTTCCCTGCCTTTCCAGTGATAAAGGGAGTGGTTGCCCACACCGGGTTGCGCTGCTGTCCTGTAGGGTGAACTGGGCGGCTCAGCCCCCAAGTCCTGCCCCAGCTCTGACTTTTTTCCCAGAGCTCTCAGATGCAGGCACCCGGAGGAGGTCACCAGCCAGGGTTACTATGGCAGGGGCCCAAAGGCGGCTCAAGGGACTCATTCCAGTTCGGGATTTTCAGCAGTCTGGCTCTTTACCGTCCCCACCTTGGGGAGGTGGCTCCCGTATCTAATGGGCCGCCAGGTGCCCAGGGAAGAGGTGCCCAGGCCGCAGCAAATATCCCTTCTTCCCCCGTGTCAGTCACGATGTCCATGTCTCTGGGCTGGCTAATTTTTGAGGGAATTGGCAGGGACGTGGTTGAGCGGCAAGACCACCTCGGTGCCCGTCTCCATGGTGGCCAGGGGGCACTTCCTGCTGCTGCGCATGCTGTGGAACCTCTCCGTGAAGTGCTTGCGGAACTTCTTGGTGAGGAAACAGTAGATGACGGGGTCTAAGACACAGTTGGTGCTGAGGAGGCAGAGGGTGACCTGGTGCGCATCATTAATAGACTGGTGGAATTCTTTCTGGTAGCCCAGCTCGGCCAGGGTCCAGGGCAGCTGCACCATGTGGTGAGGCACAAAGCAGATGATGAACACAGCCAGGACCGTGCAGACCATCCACAGCGCCCGGTGCTTGACCTCCGCGTTGCGCTGCATCGGCATGGGCTGCGTGAGCAGCGTGCGGATGATGACCAGGTTGCAGAAGAGGATGAGGAGGAAGACAAGGAGAAAGCCGAACACGAGGAAGACGTGAACGATGAGGACTGGGATGCTGCCCTGTTCATAATGTTCAAAGCAGCGGGTGATGTTGCCTGTGCCGGTCTTGTTGGGCACGACGTTGGTGGAGTCCAGAACGAAGAAGTAGGCTGCAGCGGCCACAATGGACACCCAGATGACCAGGGACAAACAGATGCCACGCTTGCGGGTGGTGGCCTGAGCGGTCTTGATGGGCTGCGTCACCGCCTGGTAGCGGTTGTAAGTGATGACGGCCAGGAAAGCCACCGAGCAGTAGGTGTTAATGAAGAAGAAGCAGCCAGCCAGATTGCACAGGTAGTTGGGAAGAATCCAGTCACCCTGGTGGTGGTAGTAGATGATCCACAGGGGCAGGGTGACCAGGAAGAGCAGGTCAGCCATGGTGAGGTTCACCATGAAGATCTTTATCTCATTGAGTTTCTTGGAAGGGTAGAGGTGGACGAAGACCCACAGCACGTAGCCGTTCGCGATGACCCCCAGCACAAAGATGATGCTGTAAAAAATCGGGAAGAGGGTGTATCGGAACTCAGAGTCCACACGAGGGTGATCATTCTTCTCCATCGCTCTGGCCTGGAAAAGGCCGTTGGTCACTGTCCTGCTCGTCTGTGCCTGGAAGACCACACGGGAACTCTGGTTAATGAAGGGGCAGCAGGGGCTGTTTTATTTCATCAGTTCCAAGATTCCTATGGTGTGTATTTTTATAACTCTAAAATCGATGGCCTCTTCCAATTAATTTCTTTTGAAATAAAATGGTTTTTAATTTTAAAGTTTGGAAAGGCTAGGTTTTTTTTGTTTTTGTTTTTTTTTAGGATTTTATTTATTTATCTTTAGAGGGGAAGGGAAGGAGAGAGGGAGAGAAATATCCATGTATGGTTGCCTCTCATGCGTCCCACGCTGGGAACTGGCCTGCAACCCAGGCATGTGCCCTGACTGGGAATCAGACCACGATCCTTTGGTTCTCAGGCCCATGCTCAACCCACTGAGCTACACCAGCCAGGGCTTAAAATGTTTTGTCTTTTTTTTTAAGGAATTACACCTGATATTTCACAAAATCAATGGCAGCTCAGTTTTGACAGTGGAAACATTTAAAGAAGCTTATAGATACTTAACCAGGTCAGTTTAAAGAAACAACTGGTTCTAATAGGAATTTTGATGACCGAGAAAATTTTTGTGCTTTGTTCCATTTACTGTGGTCATGGTTTGTCTGTGTTAAATAAAGGTAGCTTGATTATTCTAAGAATTCATTGTGATTTCTTTAGAAACTAAAAGTCACCTTCAAGGCACACTGCGAATTGCACAGTTCATCTGAACTACATAGTTTCATGCTGCAGGAGCTTTTCCACCACTGAAGACAGCTCTGCCATCGGACCCCAGAGCTCTAGGATAATTGTTCTTAAAGTGGGTCCACAGAATGAGGAGGGAGGAATATTTCTGAGACCTTTAGGGGACCCATGAAGTCAAAACTATTGTCATAAAAATACATGGTATGCCTTTTTCACTATGCTGACATTTGTATTGATGTTGCAAAACTGCTAGCTCCTTGGCATAAATCAAGGCAGCAGCACCAGGCTATAGTAGGAGTTAGATTCTTTATAGCTCTGCACTTGGTGTTTTTTTTAAAAAGCCAATTTCTCTTTAAATCACATTAAAATGTCCTAGGTAAAGCAAGGAAACTATTAATTTTATTAAACCTTGAGTACTACACATCTTTTTTGAAAAGTTTCTTTATTTTTAGAGAGTGGGGGAGGGAGGAAGAAAGAGAGGGAAAGAAACATCAGTGTGTGGTTGCCTCTCGCATGCCCCCCACTGGGGACCCAGCCCACAATTCAGCCATGTGCCCTGACTGGGAATCAAACTGGCGACCCTTTGGTTCGCAGACTGGCACTCAGTCCACTGAGTCACACAAGCCAGGGTAAGTATACATCTTTTTTAAAAAGATGAGTACACATTTTTTTTTCTTTAATTTATTGGGGTGAGATTGGTTAACAATTATACAGATTTCAGGCATGTAATCTTACAGTATATCATCTGTACACTGTAGCATATGTTCGCCACCCCAAGTTCAGTCTCCTTCCATCACCATTGCCCCCTTTCCCTTCTCCTACCTCCCCCAACCCCCTTCCAGCTGGCAGTCACCATCCAGTTGTCTGTGTCCCCGACTCTCTTTTTTTCTTTGCTTAATCCCTTCACCCTTCTCACCGGCCCCCCTCCTCCTCCCCTCTTTTTTTTAGTTTTCTGCATCAAAATGGGAAACACTTTTGCAAACTGAGGTAAATTATTCATCTTCGGGGGGAAAGCACTTATGTGATTGTTTGAACTATGAGATGAACTTTGAGGATCGCCATTATCATTTGAAAAAATGACCGACTGTGTTTTTTCAGACTTCAGTATCTAGCAGAAATTTTCTCAGATGTGAGGGTGTGAACCCATTCCTTCAAGGAAAACCAGTTATGTATTGCCACCGATAAAATTCAAGCTTTCAAGGGAAAACAGAGTTTTTGGAAAAATCGTATGTGCCAGAGGGAGCTTGACAGCTTTCCCACACTTAAAGAATTTTCTGATGAGATTGGTGCTGATATTAATAAATGACATTTTTTTATATCTTATAATGAAAGGTCAGTATTTGAAAGAACTACATAACTCAGTGAACTGATATTTTCCCAATGAGGAAGACATAATATTTCAAAATTCTGCATCGGTAAAAGATTTGAAGGGTCAGATACTCCAATACCTCATGGGCTAACAAATTACAAAAAGTTGCATGATATTATCCAGGTTCCCATTGCAACTAACCTCTAAGAAACTACCCTTTGTGAAGCTCTGATGTAGTATCGAAGAAGACTGGCACCAATGACCTGAAGAAGACATCAAAATATCCCTCCCTTTACAAATACTTGTCTGTGTGAGGCCAAGTTTTCTTCATATATTTCAGCCAAAATGACACATCACCACAGACTGAATACAGAAGCAGATATGAGTCCAGCTGTGTTCTATCAAATCTAACAATGAAGTGATTTGCAAAAAATGTAAATAAATGCTACTCTTCTCCCTAAAATGTTTTGAAAATTTTAGTTAGTTTTCACTAAGAATGTTATTTATGTTAACATGGAATGAGTGTATTATTGGTTTCCATATGAAAAAATTTTTAGAATGTCTTAATTTTGAACATGGCAAACATTGATAGATATGACCCATATAAACAGAAGCTCACTGGGGCCCTCAAAGATTGTTGAGGATATAAAGAGATCCTGAGACCAGAAGATTCGAAAATTACTGCTCCACAACCTCAGTCAGGTCCTCCCCTCTAACTCTTGAGCCCAAGATGCCCATTCATTTGAGACTGGCTTTGTTTCTTTCCGCTGCTGGACCTCCTTGCCTGGAGGGACCCTGTTTCTGGGGTCTGAGGGAGGTGAGGAGGCAGCCCATGGCTGGGAGTGTGCAGCGCTCCTCAATATGAGTCTCTGAGGAAGTCACATCCCTCCCCACGCCCCACACCACACTCCCCTCCTCCCCCAAGTCAGTCCCTTCCTCTCCCCAGGTTTAGGCTCCAGCTCAGTGGGTTAGGGGAAAGTCTCCTCAGAACCTGCCCCTCTCCAGCCAGAAAACTCAATGCAAGACATCCTTCTGGGCCCAGCCCCCTGTGCCAGGGCTGCCTGGGCTTGTTGAGGAGGTCTCCCCGCCAGGATTGGGAGGGTAAGTCTTGTGAGGCACTCACTTGGGTACTAAATGGAAGGGGTCACCAAACAATTCAGTAATCAAAATAAATAAAATTTTGTTGCAATAGTTTTAAAAATCAAAAGCAGTATTATTGATTCTTCCTTTCGCCTCCGACTATGATACGGCTCTGCCTGGCGCTACCATGTTCCTGTCTACACTTAAAATGTTGGTGCTTTGCTGTGTCTCTCCACCCCACGCCCCTCTCCTTCCTTGGAGAGGGAATGAAAACTACTCTCTACACCTCTTCTCTTCGTAAATTCTCTCACAGCCCATGCCACCAACCACCCCAACATTTTGGTGGCCCATACAGGGATAGTCTCTATTTCTCCCTCTTCTCCAGCCTCCTGAGACTTGTGACCAGGGGAGCAGTAGGCAGCAGAAGCTCATCCCGGGCTGACCCCCCAACACTGTCTCTGCGAGGTTCCGAGAGAAGGTTGTGATCCTTCTCCATCCCTCCGGACTGTGGGGCAGCCTCCTCCTCACCCATCTTCACGGCCAGCGATCGAAACAAGAAAACTTGTTTTTTCTGTAGGACAACTTGTAAATTATACCCTCATAAGCAATATTGAAACATTTATATTTTCTTCCCTGCCTACTCACTCCAGAATTTGGCAACTCTTAATGAAGTCATGCTGGGACTCTGGATGTAACCAGAATGCCTTAAGGAATTAAGGTTGACTTTCAAAGCCAAGAAGAGCCCCTGGGAGAAAAGGCCTGGTACCTTGCTTTGTCACGTGGTTCATGGCAGTCTTTACAGGACTGGGAATTACTGGAAAGCAAGAACAGAGCAACTGTTCCCCATCAGCACGGGCAGGAGATAACATTGGAACAAACTGCAGTCTTGTGTTACAGCACCCTGGCAGCACCCCAACAGCCCAGGGGCCTCCTGACAGCACCCCCTTTTTAATCCAATTATAATCCAATAAAAGCTCAAAGCCCCTGCCCCCCCAAAAAAACGAAATAAAATAAATAATAAAATGTTGGTATTTTGACAAACTCATAGATACAGACAACAAACTGACAGCTACCAGAAGGAAAGGGGATGGGGGAGGGTGAAGTGGGTAAAGGGGTCAAATGTAAGGTGTTAGATGGAAACTGGGTTTCTGGTGGCGCACCCACTGTAGTGTAGGCAGCTATCGAATTATAATGTTGTGCACCTGGAACTTATATAATGTTATTAACCTATGTTACCTCAATTTTCAAAGATGGTATTTTGTTCATGGACTTTTTTTTGCATTAATTGGTTTTTTAGAAAAGTCTTTTCACCTTGTGAACAGGGCACATACACAGGCCTGACTCTCACTCAGGCACTCATTCATTGGACAAGCAAGTGCCACTGCAGGTCCCGGGCAGTCTGAAGGCCTCGGAGAGTAGACCAGTTCCTGCCCTTCAGTGGCTCACAGACCCTTTTGCAAAGGGGGAGATTCCGAAATAGACAAGGGACACGTGTTACAGTGGGAGAGGTTCCAGATGCCAGGGTGATTTTGAGATGGTGCTTCTAGCCCTGACTTGATAGTTGGAAATGACCTTCGGTCTCTGCTGAAGGGCAAGAAGGAGTTGGCCTGATGCGGACCCCAGGCAGGGGGACAGCACGTACAGGACCTGGAAGAATGGAAGAGCAGCTGCCTTGTTCTCAGGGAAATGGAGACATTCAGTTTGGCTACAACCTCATGTGTGTAGGGGTGGGGGGGGGGGGCTAAGGAGAGACAGGGCCTACAAAGTCAACATCAGTCAACTTAAGGAGGGTCTTGCCTATTAGGCTAAGGAGTTTGAACTTGATTCTTCAGAAAATGGGAAGTTGTGGAAGGATATAGAGCTTGGAAAGGACAGGGCTGGATCTGGGTCTGGGGAAGATGGCTGTGACTGCTGTACGCAGAATGGCTGGCCAGGCT